GTAAATCGATTTTATGCATCATTAACAGTAATAGCAAGACTCTTCTGATGAAACTAGAAATACTACATTTCTCAAATATGTTTCTCTGAAGCTCTACAAGGTCTTACTAAAGAAAAAAATCTTAAGGGAATCCACAAATTCTCCAATCTCATGTTCATCAAGAAGATATGCATTTGACTAGCAAGTGACACTTGCGGGCTATGATCAATACACCAAAAAACTTGAAGTAGTCCATTGTCTTCACACATAGACACAAAATCAGAGAGCTTCAGACAGGGGAGAGAGAGAGAGACGGTGAAGAGTTGTATCCAAAAATAGAATAGATTTGCTTCTAAGAGATTTGAGGGGTGGACCTTGTTAAAGTTTTTTTTGCGTGTTTTCAGATTTCGTTATTTTTGAAAATTATTTTTGGAATTATATAACCAAACAAGTTTTTCCTATTAAAAAACAACAAAACACACTTCTCTAAAACACTTTCCAAAAATTATTTTTAAATACTGTTTTCTAAAATGTAATCCAAAAACACCCCTAATTTTTTGTTTTTAAAATCTGGTCCTGTTTTCAAAACAAGTTGAATGGTAAAAAACAAAAACAAAATTTAAGGATCTACTTTAATTATCATGTCATAAGAAGTTGATTGATACAGTGAGAACGTAGCTATGGAGGTTTTTTATTTTTAATTGTGGTTTATGAGTCTTACCTAACTCTGTAGCTAGTTCTGTCATACAAGGTAATTAAAATTTATATCAATGATCGGTCACAACTGACGCATGAAAGAAGGCCTCCATGGATACCCATGGATCCAGTGCCATAGTACCAATGACAATAACGTAGTCATTTCCACCCCACTTCACACCTCGGAACGCACCGTTCTTATAGAGAGAAACACGATTGAAGGTTCATAGAGGAAGATCTAGGCCTTTCACAATATCCACCCCAATCACTTTTAGTATTCCCTTGTGCAATATCTGAACAACAAACCTCCAAAATCAAACGAATTAGCTTCAAATAAAACAAAAGTTTATCAGTAAAAATGAAAATACTAAGAGCACTAACCAGTTCTACAACGAAATTTCCAATAAGACCAATCATACAAGCTCCCGAGTTCCATGTTTCAGCAGTCCTTGTGAAACCCAGAAAAGGGTGCTTTGAATTTCGGCTCTACTTTTGGCAATTCCACCTGTAAATTCCATACCAAACAGTTTTCTATGCTATTTTAGGAAAAAAACCCATCAAAGGAAAAGGCAAGAATGCACCTACGAAAAAAAAGAAAAGGCAAGGATACAATAATTGTTGAAAATATGAGAATCCCGCAATTGCGGATTAGCTCTATGTAGCATGCCAGTTATTAATTATGACTGATAGACTTTGGTAATTATGGCTAATAGACTTTGGTGAAGAAGATACTACGTAATAGTTTTATAAGTATGTTTGAATCGCGGGTTATATCTAGATAATTCTGATAGAATGAGATAAAAAAACACGTGGATCTCATATATCTTACATTAGATAAATAAAAAATGAATCGAAAATTTTATTCGAATTTTATTCCAACTCAATTTGAAATGTTAACTTTAACCCATTTACATAAGTTAAATGAAACCTAAAGGAGCTGAATTTTTTTCGCTAGACGGCATAACTAATGCAAATGATCGAATTGTGTTGTTCTCTTTTCTTTCTCTCTCTCGTCTCGTCTGCTTCATCTCTTTCTCCCGTATTTCACAGATTTAAATTTTTGTTTTCACAAATTTATTTTGTCAAAGCAAGACTCTTCAGACATACCTCAAGAAGATCAAGATGACTTCTCTAACAAGATAACTAATTTAAATAATAAATTAACTCTAATAAAATAATATTCTATTTGAACTAAGATTAATTAACAATTAATAATAAAATAACTAATTAATATGAGTTTGAGTTAATTCTCAATAATTCTCGTAACATATGAACATCCATCTAGAAGATATGTAATTATAGCATTTTAAAAAATTATTTGTAAAATAAATTTGTTTGAAATTGGTGAAAGGTTAATTTATAAATCAAACATGGTGTTAGATTAGATAGATTAGGGGCAAACCAGTCAACAAAATCATATTTCATCTACATGGGTCCCACAAAAGTATTTGTGTTATTTAAACATTAGAAATCTATATAACTTAACACATAGTAAGTTGAACTTTATCTATTATATATTTTTCTCCTCAAAATCATCGCATCACCTATTTTTATCACATATTCAATCATTTAATATGTAATTAATTTGTAATTTAATATAATTTTTATATAGGAAGTTAAATTTTATCTCTTATACATTTTTTCCTCCAAAACTATCACATCACTCATTTCTATCACATGTTCAATTATTTAATATTTTATTAATTTGTAGTTTAACATAATTTTTATTTCAGATATTATCATACACGATAATATACATATGTTGAAAAATTTTATCGAATTACGTATTTTGAAAAAAATTTGTCAATATTTTTAAGAAAATAATGGGTAAAGATAAATTTTGAATGATATAATCAAATAAAGAAAAGAAAAATTATTATTTAATAAAGTGAGATTGATTTTTTAGAACTCAAATTTTATGTTCTATTGTGTATTCAGACACGAGTTATGGCCACAGAGACAGGGTTGTTATTTAAACTGAGCTATTCGAGCGTAGCTTGAGTTCGGCTCGGGTTTAACTCGTTTAAGCTTGGTTCATTTTTTAAACGAGTCCGAACTTGAATAAGTTTTTAGACTCGTTTAAAAAATAAGCCCTACAAGCTCGGCTCAAACTCGACAAGTTCAACTCGTTTATGTGCAAATACTTGGCCTCGGCTCAGGCTCAATTTGGATTTGGCTCGTTTAGAAAACGAGCCGAATCTAAACAATTTTTAAAATTCAATTAAAAAATAAGCTTTTTAGCTGGACTTGTTCGACTAACGGTCCCACGTGGAGAGGATAAAAGCACTGAATCCTAACCAGTCCAACATAATTCAGGATATTAATAGATTTTTGGGAATCGAGTCCGTGAATCTATGCGTGATAGGTTGAACCCCGTAAGTTTTCGTGTTCTTCGTCTTCTGCCATTTCAGTCTACGATATCTCTCTATCCAAAAAGTTAACAGTAACCCGTCAAGGGGAAGAGGAAAACAAGTCAGGAAACTTTGTTGCTGATTCTGACAATGATCAGCTGTTAGAACTTGTGAGGAAATCAAAGGCGATGAAATGGGTAATGAAGTCGCCATGGTTTCTGGTACTTGCAAGTTGCAACCTTAAGCCATTTATTTTTCCTTATCAAACGCGAAGCCAACTGAGCATTGTGTAGTGTGCTGGGTCGCATGCAACTGGTGATCATAGGTGTTGTCCAAATCTGTCCAACTGGTCCTCAGATCGATTTCAGTTCGTACAATTGATCACGGTTTTTATGGATGCTACAAATTTATGTCATGTTTAAATCATATGGTTACAAAATGTAGTTAACTTCTCTCAAAGTATTTATATTTATATTTCATTAGATTGATACGATGGATTTGTGGTATATGTAAATCACTCATAATAAAATTCAAATTGATTCATTTATTAAACTAGTTCACGGCCTTCTTACAGTTTTCTTGGAATCTTATATCGCACAATGCGTTGGGTGTTTGGTTTACGAACAACTGCCTCTCCATCAGATATAAGGCTCTATCTTGAGTGGTATGAAGATTCTTCTGACAGACACTACTGGACCGACTTCAATGGCAGGAGGTTATAGGAATGAAGGTTACTATAGACTATTGTAGGATCAATCTCTAGCAAAAGAAATAAGGGTTTGAAGTGCAAGAAGACCTCATGTCAAATTGACTAATCATGACTAAGTAATCGAAGTTTGATATCCTGGTATGGCATATAATATATTAGATATCTAAATTACGTCCTTAAATGCCTTCTCTAAGCGCATTGGACCTTAAATAACATTTTTCTTCTGAGTGCTCCTCCATGGCACGGATGATGTTTTACCATTAGTAAGTTCTCAAGTCATCAAGCATGTCTGTCAGTTATATGCATGATTTTTGTTTAGGGGTCGAAGGCTTGTTTATTTGAAGGAAAGAATCATTTCGTCACAAGAAGTAGATTTGAAATCTAACATTTTTTTGGTAACAAGAAATCATCTCAATCATTCACTTTTTTTTCACTCATATATTGACGCAACACGTATAATAAATAATTACATGACAGATTAAGACCGTTGAAAATATCGTTGATCGGACGTTAATCAAGACTGATTCTAGACAACAATGTTAAAAAATTTCAAAAGACTCATTCTAGAAAATTCTTGACCATATGAGTAAAGATTGAAATAAGTATCTTTCAACTTGGCATTTTTAAGCCAAAAAACGATGTTCATGGCATTTTTTAGGCACTTTTATATTTTATCCCGCTGTTTGTAGTATTTTCTTAATATTGTTTATATGTTTGGGTTTCTAGTAATTTAAGATAATTAGGGTTTTGTATTTATATTGTGTTGAAAAAAGTGAATTGAATAGCTTTGAATTATTTGAAATTAACTTTTCAATTGACTTAGTATTCTTCGTGAATTAACAAGACTCTTGACGACTTTTAATTTAGTATTATTGTAATAATCAACAGTTTGAAGTTTCTACGCAATCAAATGTCTCACATATATGGAACTAAAATGCACCGAGGATGATGAAATTAACTATATTGCACATGCTTTACCTACTTCATTAAGCATTACGCAGTGTTCATGATCTGCCAACTCAACTTTAAGTAGATCATCAACCTTAACCTAAAGCTTAAGCTCTTTAAGGATAAGTCCAACTTATTCATTGCTCTACTCAACAATTTTTCAAAGAAATAAAGGTCTAAAAGTAGTTTTAGTCTGTGTTTATCACCTTAATACAACAACAAAATTAAACCAGGAGATAATTCTGGGGAACCACCTGCATTATTCTTCCCTCTTCCTCTTTCTATCTGATTTGAAATTTAGGTTTAAACCAGGCCACTTAAAGAGAGAGAGAGAGATCAACGTGGCAATCATCTATGTCAACCGGCTGCGTCGTCAATACAGTTACTGGACTTGAAGGGTAGTAATATGAGCCTCCAGGAGTCAACAAGTTGTTCACTTGATCAGAAAAATGCTTTTCCATGATTTTATGGCACTTGATTAGAACATCCTAGAAATTGAAAATCACCATCAATAAAACAGTTTACATAAAATTTTGTTAGAAAGAGAAGAAAGGATTTGTAGCTTATAACCTCTTGATGATCTTGTGGAATGAGAGATGTAAAATTGATGAGTTCATAAGCATGATTTGTTGATGGAATCATCTCTTCAATTCCGCATCGTAGTGCGGATATGGCAATAACACATGGCCTGAACTCGAGGAATTTAGAATCTGAAATACATTTAATTATCAACAATTAGTAAAATAAATGAAACTGTATTCATTGTATCGGGAATGAATAAATTCTTAAAGCTAACTCAATACACAAGACTTCTATCATTGGATGTCTTAATTAGTATTATAATTTTGAATAACTACATTGGATTGATATAAGAGGGACCAGTCATAAGATTGATACCTTTTTGTTTGAGTTGTTCCTTCCCAATCCCTAATAAGCACCTAGCCCTTTCCCTACTAGGAACGAATTTCCCGTATATACCACATTGTCTCTTAGAGATTAAACTTATAGTGACGATAAGTGCTCATTCAGAAGCGATTTTTTCTCCAAGAATCAAATGCTTTGCAATGAGGATAAAAATGTCCGCCTTTTAACCCTAAAAATGAACATAAATAGAACTATATATAGGTGATTCAATACCATCAAAATAGCTTGGTTCGAGATAATGTGTTCTACCTAAAAGCGCATCGAGAAGCAGCTCAATGACTCGGGCAGTTAGTTCCTCACGAATGAGAGGCTTCGAGGCAACAAGATTCCATGTCAGAAGCTCAAAGTATGAAAATGCTGTTGTACAATTAAGTTTCCATTCCAAGGCCTTTAACAGTGCTAATTCCATTCTTTCAACCAGCCTCGGTTGGAATGAATGGTCCAGACCTTCCATCTGCAATCACCAGAATGTCCATCATTACAATGATAATGATAAGGGAATGACATAAGAGTACCGAGTTTGATATTGTACAGTAATTTACAACTAAAAAAAATTAGTTAGAGTTCATTTAAGCTCATATTACTACTTAAAACAAACAATTATGATTCAATAGGGTCAAAATATGATTAATAAAAGAAGTTAAAATTGATCTTAAAACATTAAAATCGACCCTTAATGTTAGGGTCGATCCCAAACATCACTTTTTCTTTAGCTCGGGCTGTTATCTCAGAGTTATTTTACAGTAACTTGCAGCACAAAAAAATATCTCTTGGATACTCTAGTTTTTCCCTACTTAGTCACCTGAATATCATGCAATGGAGGAGGTGTTGTTTCACCAAATTTGGAGGCAATGGATAAACAAGCGACTGATAGNCTATCATTGGATGTCTTAATTAGTATTATAATTTTGAATAACTACATTGGATTGATATAAGAGGGACCAGTCATAAGATTGATACCTTTTTGTTTGAGTTGTTCCTTCCCAATCCCTAATAAGCACCTAGCCCTTTCCCTACTAGGAACGAATTTCCCGTATATACCACATTGTCTCTTAGAGATTAAACTTATAGTGACGATAAGTGCTCATTCAGAAGCGATTTTTTCTCCAAGAATCAAATGCTTTGCAATGAGGATAAAAATGTCCGCCTTTTAACCCTAAAAATGAACATAAATAGAACTATATATAGGTGATTCAATACCATCAAAATAGCTTGGTTCGAGATAATGTGTTCTACCTAAAAGCGCATCGAGAAGCAGCTCAATGACTCGGGCAGTTAGTTCCTCACGAATGAGAGGCTTCGAGGCAACAAGATTCCATGTCAGAAGCTCAAAGTATGAAAATGCTGTTGTACAATTAAGTTTCCATTCCAAGGCCTTTAACAGTGCTAATTCCATTCTTTCAACCAGCCTCGGTTGGAATGAATGGTCCAGACCTTCCATCTGCAATCACCAGAATGTCCATCATTACAATGATAATGATAAGGGAATGACATAAGAGTACCGAGTTTGATATTGTACAGTAATTTACAACTAAAAAAAATTAGTTAGAGTTCATTTAAGCTCATATTACTACTTAAAACAAACAATTATGATTCAATAGGGTCAAAATATGATTAATAAAAGAAGTTAAAATTGATCTTAAAACATTAAAATCGACCCTTAATGTTAGGGTCGATCCCAAACATCACTTTTTCTTTAGCTCGGGCTGTTATCTCAGAGTTATTTTACAGTAACTTGCAGCACAAAAAAATATCTCTTGGATACTCTAGTTTTTCCCTACTTAGTCACCTGAATATCATGCAATGGAGGAGGTGTTGTTTCACCAAATTTGGAGGCAATGGATAAACAAGCGACTGATAGTAGTTCCACCACCCAAAATTTCCATCCCTGCACGCAAGGGGGAAAAAAAAAAAATCAAATTCTCAACCTAAATCTTTTTGGATATAAAGAAGTCGAAATGAACGTAGCAAGTTGACGGCATTCCTTACATTGCATTGATTCACAGAAAGAAATCGATCAAAGTAATTTGCAGCATTGAAAACAGTCACAAAAGAGAGATTCAGCCGTTTTTGAGACTCCAAACACATAGAGAAAGACAAAGAAAAGAGTGTTAAACAACATGCACATAACCGAATAAGTTTAATTGGCATTTCATGTATGGAGGATTACCTTAATAAGCCATTGTACCGCTTTAAATCTAGCAATATTTATTTGATCATCTGATCTTAGAGACTCGACATACCCAGTTTCTGGCATGTAACTGAGCTCCTTATCCAAGCAAATTCTAAAGGCGTCTTCACAATCTTCTTTAGTTGTGTAGAAGTAACTGATATCGCAGCTCTTTGTTTCATAGCAGTGGTGTTTATTTGCATTTCTGTCAGAAGTAGTAGTAGGACTCATAAGCCAGACCTCATTGCAAAGCAGGCTGTCCATTCTTAATTCGGTTCAGGACAAAAAGAACACAAAGACAAGAAAACAAAAAAGATTAACACTTCTGAAAGCTGTACAGTAAAGGGGAAGAAGTGCCCTGCACAATGTGCTGTCCAAAATTCAATAGCAAAAGGTTGGAATGTGGACAATGCAAATGATCATGACATTAAAATCTGCTTCAAGTCTACTTTTTAACAGTTTTGTCTCTCAACTGTACATAAACCACACACAGAGAGAGAGAGAGAGATGGAAGAGAGGGGAGAGGGGGGGAGGTTATATAGGAGTTCGTGGGTGTTGGTTGATGTAGTGGGGGATTGGCTTGGTGCCTAAAGATAAGAGGGTGGTGAATGGTAATGGGGGAGAAGGGGTATAAAAAATGGGACACGTCCCTCATGACAAGGGTTAAATGCTGTTTAAAGATTTTTTTTGTTGGGGAGTTTTTTTGACTGCAGTAACCAACTGCGTGAGCTCATGCACGAGGATAACCCTATAAGTTCTCGTCTATTTATTGCACTCAGCGTTTTTAGGGAAAGAGCGAGATGTGGTTTTGCCAGTTAGGAATCTTTACTTCGACACTATTGCATTTACTGTCCCGCGTTGTGGGTTCAATTCAATCTTTGGTGGATTTTATATGATCAGTTTGACAATTTACGAGCCAACCAAAAATATATCAGAAGAGTTCTCACTTCTGTAAAAATCTTTCTCGTCCCAACCCTACCACCACAACATGCTATGATTTGCAACTTTCCCATTCTTTCTGCTGGAACACTTTCCTCGTCTGGTTATTGGGAACAGAGATGGACCGAACTGTTGCATGGCAGTACCAATGGTCCGTCACTGGCACTGTTTTTACTGCCTTCAACGCTGCCATCATCGTCATCTCAATCGTTACCACTCTTACTGCCTCCTAGGCCCTACCTGGAGCTAAAAAATTAAGTGAACCATCAAAGTAGCTCGTATAGCTGGCCATTTAATTAACTCGAGATAAAAAGTTTGAGCTTTATAAGAAATACCTTGATTGACCTATTGATTGACCCGCGTAATTTGTAAATGATTGTGTGCATCTGTTTGGATATAAAATATTAAATTTTAGAAATATTCAGTATATTATAATCTGACAGTCCGTATACATTTAAGAGAGTGTCATGTGACAAAATTTTAAAAAATGCAAAAAAAGTTCGGCCACAATCATATTTGAAAACGAACAGTAACTAATTGGAAGTTATCAGTCAATAACCATCGATGAGAGTAAAATCATTGAAGACAATGACTATAAAATGACCTTTAGTGAATAAGACAAGAACATATTCAACCCCCAAAGACTCATGACCATCGATGTGAGTAAAATCATTGAAGACAATGACTATAAAATGACCTTTAGTGAATAAGACAAGAACACATTCAACCCCCAAAGACTCATGATCTGGGCATTATTAGGAGTAGTTTTAGATTAGTTTCAATAAGCAGTTTAATATTGTAATTAAGTCTGTTTATTCAGTCTTTCTGTAACTGAAGTCCTTTCGCTAAATTAATAAATAAATTTTTTTATTAGTTTTCGTACATTATGTGTTTGTTCATTATTTTTTTATCTAAAGAAGTTTTGAAACAAGACATTTGAATCCTTTACGATAGTCCCCTGAAAACTATCTATCGATTGTGATATATCTATCGGTCCCAACAAATTTTGTAACAACATCTTATTTTTATTCACCTGGTTCAAATACTGCAGGGTTATTAAAAGAACATAGTAATTGGTAGAGATGAAAAAAACTCTTTTTTTTTTTCGCAGGGCAACCATGGGTATAAAAAGATGTAATATTTTTGTTTTGGTAAAATAAGGCATTAGCAAAACATTAAAACTTAAACAGGACATATAAGTCTATGGTACGCCACACCCGTAATACTGGCCATAACTGGGAGGGAGGATGCTCCCTTCTTTGCAAGCATGTCCACTCACTTGTTTGTGCCATAAACCACCTGCAGTCATAGAGCAAAGTGTTGTGGGGGTGGTCTTCAGTTTGTGAGTTGTTGATAAGGTCAATCACTAATTATGCATCCACCGAGACTGCTACTTTAGAGGGGCAGTTTTGAAGGGCTAATTGAAGCTCCATTCTTAGTACCCATAATTCGGCCCCTAAGTTCATCAATATGCCGATGTTTGCATAGAAGCATGCTATCGCCTGTCCATCAGAGTTTCTGCACGGGCCCCCTGCCTGCTTGGGGTGAGGTTGGAGGGCTTCCAACCAAGACATTAAGTCTCCATTTTAAACCATCTCGTGTCTGAGGGTTTTCAACCAGTAAAGATCTGAGCTTTCAAGGGCTTGGTGTGGCTAGGGGTAAGGTTGTAAAACTCATAAGCATGACCTATTGCTTGTCTCGCTATTTCCTTGACTTGAGGTGTATGGTTTTGAAAGACCCTGTGGTTTCTGTGGATCCACAGGCTGGCATAGGTGTATGGGAAGATGGTTGCCCACGGGAGGTGGGTAAACTTGGAAAGGGCTTTGGAAGAAAAATTATCCTTTAGCCACTAGAATAAAGGAGGGGTCTCGACAGGTAAATTGAGGCCTAAAGTGGTAATATTAATTGAGATTATTTATTTATTTATTTTTTTAAAAACAATTAATTAAAAATTATTATTTTTTAAGTGAGAGGAGGATGTGATACTTTGTTTTTGTTTTTAAGAGAGAGAGAGAGAGCGATTTTATTTTTTAAATTTTTAATTTTTGAGTTTCTAATATTATAAATTGAATGGTAAACCCAAATTATTGAAATTATAATTTTTTGATTTGACTTAAATTTTTTGAGGCCTTTTTATAAGGCGTAAAATTTTGATGGATTTAAATTTTTTATGTAGACTAGTTATGTATCTACAATTATAGGACATTTTAAAAATTTAAGACCTAAAACACATACTTTTTTTTAATACTATTAGACCGGCCCGGGCCTAGAATTGGTTTGGCATGGAGCAGGTCCCTATTTCCTTCTGGACATCTCAGGCTAGGGCACAGTCCCTAATGACGTGGTTAGTGTACCCCTAATGGAGATTGACATAGTGTACATGATTTTTCAGCCAAGACTTTCCTATTGTGTGTTGGGTTTCCCTCCTTTGTGGGACTCATCAATTTGCTAATTTTTTGGTGGCTTACCCGTGTATGACTCTTATCCAAGACTTGGTTTGGAGTCTTCAAGTTAAAAGGAATTTGGCAGCCACCAAAGACTATAAGTTTTGTCCTTTTCTTTGGTTCATCTTTTCTCTGTTGGTTTGGCAAGAAGACATATTTTCGGCAGTCTTTGGTTCAACAAAAATTCAGCCTTCTTCTTCTCCTTTTTGGTGCCAGAAAAATCTGCAAATTTGTTCTTCAAGTGGGTAACATTTCTTCACTTGATATTTGGGTTTCTTGCGGTTTGTTCTTGGAGATTTGGTTCACTTATTTTGTGAGGTATTTTCCTCTTGTGATTTACACCTTGGTGTGTTTGTAAGGCTTATGCCTTTTGGCCACTTTGTAATCTGATTTGGTGATAGTGGAAGAAACTGACCTACCGGTCGTCGTGGATGTACCTCAAGTTATTTGAGGGAACCACGTAAATCTTGTGTGCTTATTTATTTTCTGTTATTTTATTTATATTGCTTCCATTGATTTACACTTGTGGGAAAGCCTATTTTCCCAACATCTGGTATCAGAGCAATTGGTTAATTCGGTTCCGATTCGTTATATTTCTGTGTGTGAATTATGGACGGCAACGTTGGACGTATGGTTAGTTTCAATGGCACAAATTGGGTGACTTGGAAAACTAAAATGGAAGATCTTTTATTTTGTAAAGATTTGAATGGACCCATAGAGGGTGATAGTGGCAAACCGGAAGGGATGAAAGATGACGAGTGGAAAAAGCTAGACCGGAAAGCTGTCGGTTTTATTCGGCAATGGATTGATGATAGTGTCTTTCATCATGTCTCTACAGAAAAATCTGCACATGGTCTTTGGACCAAATTGGAGAGTTTGTATGATAGAAAGACGGCAGTGAATAAAGCTTTTTTATTTCGAAAGCTTGTGAACTCTAAATATAAGGAGGGTACTTCTATTGCAGAGCATTTGAATGAGATTAAGAGCATTGTGAATCAGTTGGCCGCCATGAAAATTACTTTTGATGATGAGTTGCAAGCTTTGTTACTTCTTAGTTCACTTCCCGAAAGCTGGGAAACTTTGGTGGTCACAGTTAGTAACTCCGCACCTGATGGAGTGGTAACAATGAGTCAAGTTACCAGCAGTTTGTTGAATGAAGAAACAAGAAGAAAATCATCAGGTTCTTCTTACTCCGAGGCACTTGTAATGGAAAACCGGGGGAGAGGCAGGAGTAAGAGTAGGGTTCCGCACAACCGTGATAAATCTAGAGGTCGTTCAAGCTCGATGTCAAAAAAGGATGTTGAATGCTATTATTGTCACAAGAAAGGGCACATGAAGCGGGAATGTAGAAAACTCAAGTTCAAGGAGCAGAACAAAGAGAAAAATTCAGAGAAAAAGCAAATTGATACAGCTGTAGTTACCGATGATGAACTCATGATTATCCGTGATGATGCTAGCGTTAATTTGATTGGCCAAGAGACGGATTGGGTAATTGATTCTGGAGCTTCATTTCATGTTACTTCGCGGGCTGATTTCTTTACTTCTTACTCACAAGGTGATTTTGGGAATGTCCGTATGGGAAATGAAGATGTGTCAAAAATTGTCGGCATGGGTGACATTTGCTTGGAAACAAATATTGGATGCAAATTGCTGCTTAGAGATGTGAGGCATGTACCAGATATTCGACTCAATTTAATCTCTGCTGGAAAGTTAGATGATGAAGGCTACATCAACAATTTCAGTAATGGAAAATGGAAGCTCTCCAAAGGTTCTCTAGTGGTAGCAAAAGGAAAGAAGACTTGTTCTCTTTACACTATGCAAGCAAAAATCTGCAAGGGTGTTGTGAATACCTTAGAGAATGACTCATCCACTGATTTATGG